CAGAATTGAAAGGAATGTAAAGGAAAGAGAAAGGAGAAGAAAGAAGAAAGAAGAAGGAAGATGAAAGAGAAGGGGAAGTCTGCGGTAAATGAAGGAATGAGGTTAATTGAGGGTTAATTTGAGCCGCCTGGCCAAAATAAGTGATCGAGGGAGAAGGGTCTTAGCCAGGGAGGTAACCAAGCACCCGATGGTCACTCTGAAAGAGCTCCAGCACTTCTCTGTGGAGAAAGGAGAACCTTACAGAAGAACAACCATCTCTGCAGCACTCCACCAATTAGGCCTGTATGGTAGAGTGGCCTGACAGCAGTCACTCCTCAGTAAAAAGCAAATGGCAGCCCACATGGAGTTTGCTGAAAGGCACCTGAGGGACTCTCAGACCATGAGAAACAAAACTTCCTGGTCTGATGATACAAAGATTGAACTCTTTGGCCTGAAAGACAAGCATCATCTCTGGAGGAAACCAGGCACCGCTCACCACCTGGCTAAAACCTTCCCTACAGTGAAGCATGGTGGTGGCAACATCATGCTGCGGGGATGTTTGTCAGCGGCAGGAACTGGGAGACTAGTCAGGATTGAAGGAAAGATGAAAGCAGCAATGTACAGAGACATCCTTGATGAAAACCTGTTCCAGAGCGCTCTGGACCTTAGACTGGGGCGACAACTCATCTTTCGACAGAAAAAACGACCCTAAGCACACAGCCCACATAACAAAGGAGTGGCTACGGGCCAACTCTGTGAATGCCCTGGAGTGGTGGAGTGGCCCAGCCAGAGCCCAGACTTGAACATCTCTGGAGAGATCTTAAAATGGCTCTGCAACGACACTCCCCATCCAACCTGACGGAGCCTGAGAGGTACTGCAAAGAAGAATGGGAGAAATTGCCCAAAAATAGGTGTGTCAAGCTTGTAGCATCATACTCAAAATTATTTGAGGCTGTAATTGGTGCTAAAGGTGCTTCAACAAAGCATTAAACAATGGCTGTGAATACCTATGTACGTGTTTTTTTTTTTTTTTTTTAATTTTAATAAATTGCAAAGATTTCAAAATGAACTTCTTTCACATTGTCATTATGGGGTATTGTTTGCAGAATGTTGTAGAAAAAAATGAATGTAATCCATTTTGGAATAAGGCTGTAACATAACAAAATGTGGCAAAAGTTAAGCGCTGTGAATACTTTCTGGTTGCACTGTATGTAAGCCAGACAAGGTATTTATAGGATGTCTTAATCCAACAAAGGGTCCTGGTAAATAATGGAGAAAACATTGTAACAAAAACACACTTTAAAAGTACAGACAGGAATGGGTACATTCCTATAGATAGTTGCCATCATCCCACTTGGTTGAATAATATTCCAAGGGGCCAGTTTCTGAGACTTAGAAGGAACTGCACTAATATATCGGATTATCACGATCAGGTGGGAGTGCTTAGAACCAGATTCATTGAAAAAGGTTATGAATCGAAAAATCTGGATCGGATTATTCAGGAAGTGGGGCTTCTTGACAGGACAGGGCTGCTCACTATGGAAAAAACGGTGAGACCTGAGAAATTTTGCCCGTTTATCACAAACTTTTCGATTCAGTACAAGGAGGTTTCTAAGATTATTAGAAAAAATTGGCCTATCTTGAAAGGTGACCCAGTGTTGGGGGAAGCTCTTCCTGAGCAGCCTGAAATTACGTTTAGAAAAGCACCCCCACTAAGACTCTCTATAGCCCCTAACGTTGTGGACCCACCTACAAGCATGTCCTCAGCATTTGGGCTGAAGGGTTTCTATCCTTGTAATAGGTGTGTGGCTTGTAGGTTCAATGGTATACACAAAACTAGAGTGAAAGATTTTGAATCTAGTGTCACTGGAAAGAAATATACAATTAACCCAATGATTACATGTAATACAACACATACTGTGTATCTCCTACAATGCTCTTGCAATTACCAATATGTAGGTAGAACAACGAGGCGTTTGAGGGATCGTCTTAGAGAACATTATAACAATATCAAGAAAGGATTCAAAGACCATTCATTGTCTAGGCATTTCAGAGATCATCACGCTATGGATCCCTCAACTTTGAGATTCACTGCAATCGATAGGATTGCGCAACGTTGGAGGGGTGGGCATAAGCGGAGAGCGGTGTCTCAACTTGAGACTAAATGGATAGTGGAACTCAGATCTTTGCAACCCCAGGGCCTCAATGTGGAACTAGACATTAATTGTTTCATTGACAATAGTTAACTGTACTATGTATATACTCTTTTTTGATTATCCATTATATTTAAAAAAAAAAAAAAAAAAAAAAAAAAATATTGGGGTTTTATTATTATTTTTATCAAATATAGAGTCCCGTCTTTTAGTGTGTTATATATAATTTTAAATATATTTTTGATATATTGACATACTAATATTATCTATTCCTATGTGCCATATTTTTGATTTTGAATAAGAAGGGGTTGGTTTATATTTAGTTTTTAAATAATTTTAAATTTTTATTATCTCAACAGATTTAGGTCCTTTTAGATTTTTTGCAATATTTTATGTGATCTTAAGGGACATGTGAATCTACATATAACTATTGTACATATTTTATCTATTTATGAATTTTCCGCATTTGTACTAGTAATGAGTTGTGCATGGTGATTGGTAGCTGATTATGCTGCATTGCTAATTTCATGTACATATACTGTTTTATTTGTTTTTAATTGAGTTGAGCAATGCAGGGTATCCTATATATAATGAGCAGATGGGCTACAACAAAATGAAGCTCTTGGGGTTGTATGGGGTTAATATGATGTATTGTACCCAATGAACTTCCTGTTTGTCTCCCAGCTCTATACTAGTGAATGGAGCTGTGTTAGTTCTCTTTATATACACAGCGGTTGACGTTCCCGCGCATGCGCATTAGGTGCCGTCGTGGTCGGGCGGGGGGTGACGTCATCGGCGCATGCGCGCTGGCTCGTAGTGGCGTGCGGTGCTGAATGCGCATGCGCGATCACGTTTATTTTAGCAGGCGTCCCGGGTTATGAGTCACCCCTTTGATAACGAGCGTGTTCAGCTCGAAAACATGTTAGGGGACTCGCCCAGCTGACGCCATTACACACCAGGGAGCCCTAGATCACCAGGGAGGTTGACACCTGACCTGGCTATTTGCTCATGTGAGTTATATACCTTCTTTTTTGGAAATTTCTAATAAAGACATACTTCACCATCATATCGTTTTTGCTTTATGACTCATTCATTTGCGAGTCATGAAAGGTGGACCACCATAGGAGAAGTATATACTGGGAGGCTGGACGCCGTTGGACCTATCTAATGAGCTGGATGGGATCCCAGAGTGTGTGCTGATATCTCCTCCTAGTGACCGGATGCTGTCTGCAATGTGAACCAGGCTCTTCTGCCCACTGACGATACACCAGAGTATATGCATACAACGCCTTGTTTGTATGCCCTTGTGGTAAGCGCATTATTTTTGTTGGTTTCTTCAGGATTGCATATTGATGCTGCTGTTATGAAACATTTTTTTACTCTAACTGGTTTGGTTCTACTATCACATTTGGAATCTGAACTGGCTACCAGCATCATAACTTCATTTATACGGAACTACTGGGAACTTAGTTCTCTACATTCAATTTTTGTTTAGCGCTGCATACCCTGTCTGCATGCAATACTGTACATAAATGACATTTATGTCCTTTTTTAACACAGATAGAGCTTTCTTTTGGTGGTATTTGATCACCTGTGTGTTTTTTATTTTTCACGCTATAAACAAAAAAGGACCAAAAATTTTTTTTAAAAACTATATTTTCTCATTTCTGTCATAAAAAATATCCAAACAAAACCTCAAATTTTGTCATAAATTTAGGCCAAAATGTATTCTGCTACATTATTTTGGTAAAAAAAAAAAAAAAATCCCAATAAGTATATACTGATTGCTTTGTGTTGAAAGTTACAGCATTTACAAACTATATAGATATTGAAAATTTGCCAAAAAGTCTCTCACATATGGTACCCCATATGTGGGATACATACTTCCATACTCGAGAAAAGTAGCAGAATGTATTTTGAGGATTAATTCCACATATACCCAAGGCATGAATGAGCAATAAATAAACTGACAATTTTGTGTAAAAAAAAAAAAAAAATTATTTTGTCATTTTCCAAAAATTTGTGGTAAAAAAATAAATTCTTCTATTGACTCAACATGCCTCTCAGCAAATAGTTTGGGGTGTCTACTTTCCAAAAAAGGGGTAATTTTGGGGGGTGGGGGCATTTTATACCACGCATCATTCACTCTTCTAACCACCTGAAGACCAAGCCTTTTCTGACATTTGCTGTTCACATGAAAAAAAAAATCAGTATTTTTTGCTAGGAGATTACTTTGAACCCCCCAAAATTATATTTTTTTTAAAGCAGACACCCTGGTAAATAAAATGGTGGGTGCTGCAATTTTTAATGTCACATAGTACTCGCGCAGAGATTTTTCAAACGCAAATTTACAAAAAAATACACACTTTTTTTTACTTTTAATGCACAAAAACACAATATATTGGCCGATGGTGACAAACTGCATACATTTTTAATATCCATAGGCAACGCTTTAAAAACCTGTACAAGATACCATTTTAGATTTAGAGGAGGTCCAGCACTAGAATTACTGCCCTTGATCTGACGTTCGCGGCGATACCTCACATGCATGGTGCAACTTCTGTTTACATACTGGTACAGGGTCCACGCTCGTTATGAATCATATTGATTCACAACAGCTTCACCTGGTCCCGAATACTGGTCACAGGTCTTTGGGAAGTTAGTGTGGAAATCATTAGTGAGAATTTGAGTGCAAAGGCGATAAAAAGTGATCTAGTCTTTATATATATAAAAAAAACAAAAAAACACCCTAAATTGTTTAAAGCCTTTCTGATGGTTATGAAGAGCATGACGTTTAATCAACAATAATGAAACTTCTGTCTCAAAATTGCATACAGCTTTTCATTTGCAAACTGCCACATACATTACCTGTCCCAGCTCTTCGTTCAGGTCAGAAGTGTTCACTTGAGCTCTCTGATCACTTTCTTCATGGTAAAGATCAAGGTCCCAACCAATAAAAAAGGAACCAAGGAATTTCTGCATCTCCACCGTTACATACAATGAAATAGGGATGATAAAATTGTAAAGAACCAGGAATGCCAGGAAATCAGAAATGAACTTTAATATCTGGTGAAAAAAAAGAAATCAATATTAGTGCAAATTGTGGATGAAATAGGGTAGCCTATACTGCATTATGTTTTTATTATTTCCAATAATGTTAATACCCTGGGGTGGATACATTACAGTGTTACTAAACCCAGGACCCTGCAAACACTATATTTGGTCTCCCAGAGTGTACAGAACATGGAAAAGCAATTTTAGTAAATATAAACCGCTAAAAACTTTTTCTCATCAGCAGTATATAGCAGTCTTGTGACTTATCTCAGTGTCCAGCTGAGCACTGGCTAATCTTGTAGGATGAGTTTTCATTCTGCTCTGACTGTCCCATGGGCTGCATAACCCCTGCCCCTGTCTGGATAGAGCAGATTGGCCCTGTGATGACCACATGCACCCTCCAAAAGAAAAAAAAAAGAAAAAAACACCTCTACAGCAATATACACTAAACAGAGCATGTGACCCCTAAAGCTCTGTACTATCAGCAGATGGATTGGGGGCAGTAGAAGGGGAGGATCAGAGAACATAGGATCAAACAGCCTTTTTACACAATGCGGAAGATTAAACCCTTATGTTCCACAGTGAGTATAGCAAGCATGCTTTACTGCATTAACAAATTGATTTTACTGTTGTTGGTTTAGCAACATTTAAAACTAGCTACAGAAACATGTTGAAAATCCATAGGCATAACCATGTTAGTGTTATTAACTGTGGGAAAAAGAGTTCTGTTCAGATAGGCAACTACACTCCGCATTCAGCATCTGTTATTCTGGGGAATGCTTATGTAGCTAGGGTAATAACATACAGTATCTCACGGAAGTGAGTACACCCCTCACATTTTTGTAAATATTTTATTATATCTTTTCATGTGACAACACTAAAGAAATGCTACTTTGCTACAATGTAAAGTATGAGTGTACAGCTTGTATAACAGTGTAAATTTGCTGTCCCATCAAAATAACTCAACACACAGCCATTAATGTCTAAACCGCTGGCAACAAAAGTGAGTACACCCCTAAGTGAAAATGTCCAAATTGGGCCCAATTAGCCATTTTCCCTCCCCGGTGTCATGTGACTCGTTAGTTTTGCAAGGTCTCAGGTGTGAATGGGGAGCAGGTGTGTTAAATTTGGTGTTATCTCTCTCACTCTCTCATACTGGTCACTGGAAGTTTAACATGGCACTTCATGGCAAAGAACTCTGATGATCTGAAAAAAAGAATTGTTTCTCTACATAAAGATGGCCTAAACTATAAGAAGATTGCCAAGGCCCTGAAACTGAGCAGCAGCACGGTGGCCAAGACCATACAGTGGTTTATCAGGACAGGTTCCACTCAGAACAGGCCTCGCCATTGCAAACCAAAGAAGCTGAGTGTACGTACTCAGCGTCATGTCCAGAGGTTGTCTTTGGGAAATAGTCGTATAAGTGCTGCCAGCATTGCTGCAGAGGTTGGAGGGGTGGGGGGGTCAGCCTGTCAGTGCTCAGACTGTACACCGCACACTGCATCAAATTGGTCTGCATGGCTGTTGCCCCAGAAGGAAGCCTCTTCTAAAGATGATGCACAAGAAAGCCCGCAGTTTGCTGAAGACAAGCAGACTAAGGACATGGATTACTGGAACCATGTCCTGTGGTCTGATGAGACCAAGATAAACTTATTTGGTTCAGATGGTGTCAGGTGTGTGTGTGGTGGCAACCAGGTGAGGAGTACAAAGACAAGGGTGTCTTGCCTAAAGGCAAGCATGGTGGTGGGAGTGTCATGGTCTGGGGCTGCATGAGTGCTGCCAGCACTGAGGAGCTACAGTTCATTGAAGGAACCATGAATGCCAACATGTACTGTGACAAGCAAAGCATGATCCCCTCCCTTCGGAGACTGGGCCGCAGGGCAGTATTCCAACATGATAACGACCCCAAACACACCTCTAAGAGGACCATTGCCTTGCTAAAGAAGCTGGGGGTAAAAGGTGATGGACTGGCCAAGCATGTCTCCAGACCTAAACCCCATTGAGCATCTGTGGGGCATCCTCAAAACGGAAGGTGGAGAAGCGCAAGGTCTCTAACATCTACCAGCTCCACGATGTCGTCATGGAGGAGTGGAAGAGAACTCCAGTGGCAACCTGTGAAGCTCTCGTGATCTCCATGCCCAAGAAAGTTAAGGCAGTGCTGGAAAATAATGGTGGCCACACAAAACATTGACACTTTGGGCCCCATTTGCACATTTTCACCTAGGGGTGTACTCACTTTTGTTGCTAGCGGTTTAGACATTAATAGCTGTGTGTTGAGTTACTTTGAGGGGACAGCAAATTTACACAGTTATACAAGCTGTACACTCACTACTTTACATTGTAGCAAAGTGTAATTTCCGCAGTGTCATCTTCTGTGAGACACTGTATGTACATACAAAGAGCTTGCTTGTTGCTCACTAGTCAGTGTGCGCTGGCAGAGTTAAAGGAAGTACTGATACCCTAATACAGGGTTTCTCAACCAGGGTTCCATGGAAGCCTAGGCTTCCTCCAGAGGTTGCTAGGGGTTCCTTGAGCAATATCCACCTCTCAGATAGCTAAAAATATTAATGGTATAAGCGGGAACCTATCTATAAGGGGGTAATTCTTCTCAATGACCACAAGTGTAAGGAACATTCTTCCCACTGACCAGCATACTAATGTATCATGAGCTGTAAATTCAGTCATTTTTAGCAGGGGTTCCCGGAGACCAAAAAGTCATTTCAAGGGTTCCTCTGTGTCGAAAAGGTTGAGAAAGGCTGTCCTAATATGATGTGACCATTTCATCTGTTATCAACCTGCAATTAGGTAGCAAAAAAAAAAGCTTTTAAATGCTATCAAAACAAAATGTTTCCAGAACAGAAAAATGTCTGCCATCACCCCAATATGTAATACTGCTATGACATAGTTATGCCAGTCAATGAATGCACTAAACACCTGAAGTGCACAAAGACAGTGTATGCAAGTGGAGCTGGTGATCTCGGGATTTAAAAAAAAAAAAAAAAAAAAAAAAAAACAACCACTGAATGTCCGTGCACCAAAGATTGGTAACCTCAACATAAATCTTGTTTTCTACTCAGAACACTTCTCTGAGAACAAGAATACAAGGTCCAACTGTACACATTCAACACTATATTTGCCTAAGCAACTCAAACAGAAGCCAGCTGCAATTCCTGAACAAAATGCATCTGACCCATAATAGCACTGCGCGAGTCTAGACCACACAGCTACAAAGCTGAAATGAGGCTTGACTTTAATTCACGGACAAGACTGCCATTACTTCTAACCACACATAATTACAAACACACATCCTAATCAGGATGACCAGGGCAGCTAATTGTTTTGTGGGCACTCACAGGGAGTTCAGAATAACGCAGCCTAACATGTAAAACACTACATAACATTTCCACCAGCAGATGCAAGAAAACACTACTGCTCAGCTCTTTATTTGTATATGATGTGGTATACAATATTGCTAGAAGCAAGATATTTTTAGCAATTGTTTACCCAAGAAATGAGAACATTTGTACAAACCTTACTGCTATTCCTGTCGTGGTCAGTTTTTTGGTTGTACCATGGCTCGTCCCATTTTTCTTCTGCTTGCCAGGCGTACTTCAAAATTGTGCTTATAATAGCCTCAAACAGCAGGATGATCAAATATACCAGCAAGAAAGTGTTCATGGACCTACACATTGATCAACAGATAAGAATACTGGAGGAAAATCTATTTGTAAAAACAGATTCTTTTGGGCAAAACATCACTAATTAGGTAATAACCGCTTAACTGAACTTGGATTTGCCAGCAAAAGTATATAAGCATTTGCTATTACTAATCTAGTCTAGTATCTATACACAGTTTTAACAGGATTGTGGCCTGCAAATATGATAAACATATGTGAAATGAGGCATTTGACATAATCCGTAAATAAGGGGGGTGATTTTTAGATCCAAGTGGTCTCATAATAGGGTAATACTATTGGATGTCAAGTCTTACTGTGTCCAGATGGTCAAAAGACCCCAAACACACAGTCAAAGCTACAACAGAATGATTTACAATAAAGGACCTCTATATCTTAGAATGGCTGAGCCAAAGACTAAATCCAGTTTCATTAAGGGAACTTTAGTCACACCTAGAGCAAACTGGGAAAAAATCCAGAATTTATACACTCTAACTCAAAGCGGTTATTGCAGTAAAAGGCAGTTCTACCAGTAATAAGCTTCTGTCCTAGGGTGACAAAGCACTTGTGACATACTTTACTGTATCTATGGAGGAGCAGCCTTGTCATTATAGGACAGGACTACAGAACACCACCCTTTCAACTTTTTTCATACATAAGATGAAGGTATACTGTAGTCCTCAAAGACGAAATGGGAATGCTGATAACATTGTTTGAGACTTCAGGTGAGTGCACACAAAAAACACAAGAATACTGGATTTTAGGCAAGATTAAATGGTATGTTTTGAACGTGCACAAAATGAACAGGTGACAATTCGCTATCCGCTTGGCAGGCCTCAGCAGTGTTAGGTGGGGGTATGGAAGTCACACTAATTGCTATGTAATGATACACTTTCAGAGAGTTGGCATTTTTAGACTTTGAATGAAGATACATTGATACATTACTTCTCCACAGCAGACCGCTTCTGTGATTTACTCTTATAATTTAATGCCATTTTTGCCTCCATTCCAGTGTATACAGCCACTCCTACAAGACAAATGTAAAGCAAACATCCTGAGGAATCACATACCATATGTAGCAATACTATCACAGGTTATTTTACAAACAGCTGTATATGTTATACTAGCAGTTTAGTTGTAGGCACAGCCACAGAAAAATTAAAGCCTTGTCCAAAGAAGAACACCATTTTAAAATCATGTTTACCATAAATCACCTCCCGTCCGGCCGTTGTATATAAACGGCCAGACGGTGGCAGTGCAGGGTCGGGTGGCCATTTATAAATGGCCTCCCCGCACTCTGCTTGGGCGCGCTCCCTGGGAGCGCGCAGCAACGCGATCCGATGCCCGCTGTGTCCTCAGGACACAGTGGAACACTGATCGTTGTACTGGACCTCTGTGCGAAGTCCCGATCATGTGATCCCTGATTGGCCAATCAGTGATCACAAGCAGAGTAGTAAGCAAGGTGTCACTTCTGACATCATTGATTACTACGTGTGAAATCTGTGAATGATCACAGAAATCACATGGTACAAGGCTATTCACAACAGCCTTGTACCATGTGACAAGCTGTGACCAATCACAGCTCACACAGTAGTTCTCAAAGGCTGCAAGAATGCAGCTAGAGAGAAGGAAAAATGATTGCTTTACACAGCCTTTATGGGTGTAAAAGCAATCAGTGTAAAAAGAAAAAAAAAAAATCTTCATCACCATCCACGAGTAGTACAGTGTCACCATGGTGGCACTGCACTGCTAGGGTGACAGTATGTAAAAATAAAATGTTTTAAAAATTATAATTTTTGGTTATAAACTAATTTGGGTTATTTTTTTTTTTTTTACTAAAAAGATAACGGAATACATTTTGGCCAAGATTTATGATGAAATACTATTTATTTGCAACATTTTTAAAAGAAAAACACTTTTTTTCAAAATTTTTGGACATTTTCATTTACATAGCAAAAAAATTAAAAATACCAGTGGTGAATAAATACCACCAAAATAAAGCTTTATCTGTCTAAAAAATGCTAAAAAATTCATATGGGTACAGTGCTGCAAGACCGCGCAATTGTCATTCAAAGTGTGCTAGCGCTGAAAGCTGAAAATTGGCCTGGAGATGAAGGGGGTAAAAGTGTCTGGACTGGATGTGGTCAATGACAGCAACTGCTTTTCAGTACAGAACATGCTCTAAACGACATTGTGCCAATTAACAAAGCAGCCAACACAGAGCTCCTATGATATACAACACATCCTACAGGCAGGAACTCCCAGTGCATCATAGCAGCTGAACTTCTTTATGCCAATCAGGGCAGCTCAATTATAACATGATGAAGGAAAACCAGAAACAAGCAGGAACAAAGATTTAAACCCCTATACAGTATGTGTGCATGACAAGGGATACCATAAACACACATTTCTACATGAAAAATGTATAACATTTTCTATACTTGTAGCTGTCGTGTAACCATTTTAAATGACAATCGTGCCTAACCACTTGACTTCCTGTGGATTTACACCCCTTCCTGTCCAGACCATTTTTTTGCAATACGACGCGATGTTCTTTAACTGACAATTGCGCATGGGCATGCAACACTGCACCCAAATAAATTTACGTCCTTTTTTTCCCACAAATAGAGCTTTCTTTCAGTGGTATTTGATCACCTCTGCGGTTCTTATTTTTTGCGCTATAAAAAACAAAAAAAAAAATGGAAACTGACAAAAAAAAAAATATATATTTTTATACTTTTTGCTATTAAACATGTCCAGTAAAAATTTAACAAATCAAATTTCGTCATAAATTTAGGCCAGGATTTTTCTTTCAGCAAAGACATGTAGCATAATACATTTTGGCCTAAATTTATGACAATTTGTGTGGTGGCTGAATTGTTTTTTTTTTTCTCACGTGGTGATCCTGTCAATGAAAAAACTCCCTATTTTATTACCTATGAAGCAGCATTATTACCATAGGACAGTATGTTAATGATATAGGCTACCATCCCATCTCCACAACAGAAATGGGAAGTGGTTACTTGGGCATAAAGATAAGACTGCTTGAGATACCACTGCAAAGTGCACAAGACAGCACTGCATTTCTGGCTGGAGAAATAGGTTTTTGTTTTTTTTACAACTAGTGAACTTATATAACAAAATGCTTTTAGTGGTGTATTCAAAAAACCAAATAGGCATGCATAAAATAAGTTCGTGTTTGGGTTAACATACACTTAAAAGTGAAGCTGTGAGCCCATGAAGGTTCACTTCAAGATCAGATTGTTGTACCCCTATTCCATTCCAGGCTATTTTTCAGCTTTCAGTACTGTCATACATTGAATGACAATTACTCAGTCATGCAACGCTGTACCCAAATGAATGTGATATTTTTTGAGAAAGACAGAACTTTCTTTTTGTATTTAACTACCAATCGGTTTTTTTTAATTTTGACCCTAATGCTAGGCTCACATTGTTCACATTGCGCGGCCCGTGTTTGCGCTGGCACGGCAACAAATTGACTGAAATGGTCTTGTGTGCCTGTTTCCTGTAAAAAAAAAGGTGCATGCACCTTTTTCAAAATGTGGCCACAGGGAAATCGCATGGTGCTTTTGGAGAAATCCCACAAAATGACTATAGTTTGGAAAGCAAACACTGCAAGTTATTTCTCTAAAAGGCATAGTGAGAGTCTTTTGAAAATGCTGTTTTTGCCAGAAGTTTTTGGAAAATGCGGATAGAAAATAAAAAATGTATTTATTTATGTTTTACACAAAGTTGCCAATATTTCTAACACACAGCATAGGCATACTTAGAATCAAATCCCAAAACAGATTCTGCTATTCCTTCCAAAAGTGGTAATTTTGTGAGTGTTTCAACTGTCCTGGTGCTCCAGGGCACCTCAAAATGTGATCAGTAGTCAGGAAATTAGATGCATAATTTACGCCTTCTAGTAAGCCATTCCACCATTCCTTGGATTTTGGGTCTCTTTATGTGCTTAGACTATGAAAAAGTCTAACACACGTGGAAGTAATATCAGAATGTGTTTTGGGGTGTGATTCTAAGTCTTTCTGAAGACTACAATTGTTGCCACAAGTTTTTGGAAAATGCAGAAAGAAAATTAACTTTTTTTTAAACAAGTTGTAAATTTATTAAGATATTTCTTACTCACAGCAAGGGCATACTTAGAATTACAACCCAAAATACATTCTACTATGCCTCTATGCCTCCAGAGTATGGCGATACCACAGGTGTGAGATTTTTACTGTTTGGACTGATAATGTATCACCCATTGTGTCTCAAGTGTCACACTTCTCAACCAATTGTGTACTGTTATGGTGGTCAAGGAATACAGCTTAGTGAAGTATCACGTACAGCACTCCCCATTCCTATACAAAAAGCCTAGCCTACTGGTACTTGGCTGCCCCCAGGAATGCCAGATTCACTGGCCAGGAAGCACAGAAGGTTGAAGAAAAGAAGAACAAGAGAGTTCCTAAGGTTCTGGGAGGACAGCTGTCCACAGGGGATGGCTGAGACTTGTGTCTCACAGGAACGCAGCCAGTTGTACATGCAGATAGGTCAGTTCAGGGCGTCAGGCAGAAAAATGGTCAGCAAAGAAGCAAATGATATGTCCAGGCAGCAGGCAGAGATGTGGTCAATAAACAGGATATGGCCAGTACAGGTGGAAGCCAGAGGCCACACTGCACTGCTGTGGGAGTGATCAGGAACACTGTTGCTGGCTGCACTGGTCTGGTGACAGTGGGACATGCGTATAGGTGATCAGGAACACTGTTCCTGGATTACACTGGAGACTAGTGTGACAACAAGGATCACTGCTTTTGATTTACACTGGTCTTATGACCCTGGAACTGGTGTGGTGACAATCAGGGACACCGTTGTTGGCTTACACTGGTGTGGTGGCTCAGCGACTGGTGTGGTGGTGATAAGGAACACCGTTTCTGGCTGCACTGGTCTGGTGGTAATCAGGAACACTGATTCTAGCGCCTCTGCTCTGCTGACACTTTGACTGGTATGGTGGTGATTGGAGACACTGACTGACTGCACTACTAGGGACCATTTCCACATAAGTGTGGGGGCAGTAAAACTTCGATTTTCATTGGCCCTGCACCATTTGATCGCAGTGACGAATCACAGCAATCACAGTAGTAAACCAGACTTAATGAATGAAAGCCATGTTTACTTTACTACTAATTGTGAACGAGTGATTGGTCACAGTGATCACATTGTACTCGGTCAATGACAGTGACCCTGTATCCAAATCAGAGAGGCACCGCAATCACAGATTGCATGGTGAGCCAAAGTAGATATGGGTACATCCTCCCTGATCAATAAAGCTGATTAAAGTAGGAAGCCATTACAGTAGAAGGAAAACTAAACAATAAACCTACTTTAAAAAGTTGCCTCCCCATTGATCTGCATACATTTTAGTATAAATTGGAATGTAAATACCATTTTTCCCCCCAAGAGTTTTCCAATGTGGTCACATGACTGTGTAGGGCCAACAAAGGAGCCAAATTACATACAGCGGTAAAGTCACCTGCCGGCGTTTTTACTCTAGGCATTGTTGGAGGGGGAGAGTGTTCACTCTCACCAGTCACCGATTTACATAGAACCTGGAGGTCTGTGGTCAAGTGACTGCAAAGAAATACATAGGAAGAAAAGTATTTACATTGAGATTTATGCTAAAATGCATGCAGGGCAATGGAGGGCAGCATTTTAAAGTAGGTTTATAGTTTAGTCCTTACTTCTACTTTAATCTCCCCTTGCCAGTTCCATATACCTATGTTCCCTTTGATTCCTCAACATCTGTTGAGCTGCCGGGGAAATAGAATCTGTCAAGAGTCACCCAAGTTGTAGGCTTACACTTGGCTATTGGCTCTCCCCATAGGAGTACTGGTGCAATGTGACTAGTTTAGTGCTATTACATGGCGTAAATAATATGCTCTTCCATACCTGGAAGTACTGCTCCTGCTGATTGAATAGAATGGCAGTAAGTAAGGTACAGCTGGGGAGGGGATTATAACATCAAATTTGTTCTTTGCCCCTCATGGCATACCAAATATCCTAAAATGGCACAGTGCCAATACTGCCATTTAAAAAATGCTTCAAGTAATGTAATGAAGATCTGGAGGGAAATACTACTAATAGTGATGCTTGAAGAATGACAGAGAAGGCAAAATTGTCCACACACAGTAAGGAGAGGTAAACTACCAAAAAGAGTAAAAAGTAAAATTATATAAAAATGGTAAAATGTACCAAAAATTTCTTTTGTGTTTTTCAACCTCGCTCCTCGAAGTAAAAGGTTTTCTGGTCCAAGAGCTCTGAGGAAATAAAGAAAAGTTTTGAGGAAGAGCCAAACAATTTTTTTTTCATTCAAAAATGCAGAATCCTAAAAATGTTTATCCGTCTGAACAGACTGTTAATGAGAAGTAACTACAATTCTCTGAAATCAAGAACTGTTTAACCTTCCTTTCAATACGATCAGCTTTCATTACAAGCACTAATCACTCAGTGATATCCTTCTATAGCCACTTCAAGGGAAACTCTAGAACAAAGATCAAACTGGGTTTACCTTACAATATCCTCTGAATGTTGTCGTATGGTGATCCTTCCAACAAACCTAAGTAAAATATTTTGATAATATTAAAAAATACACAAATAAGCCATGTTTAATGCAGCTCATGAATTCACTAGCTGCTGTAAGAAGGAAAAGAATAAACATTAATTTTTAGAAAAGGAAAAGAATAAGTGTAAAAAAAAAAAAAAGTTATTTTGTATGATAAAAAAAAAAAAAAAAAAAAGTATAAAATACTTTGTATAAAGTGTAAACAATCGTATATAATGTGTGTGTGTAAATATTGCTCATGCATTTTTAAAGTATAGAGCTCTCTTATGAGCAACAAGCACACCTTTAATACCTAAAACTACAGGGAAAACTGCAGGGCCATTCACAAAGCGCAGCGCTTCTCACGTGAAGTCGCAAGCTGTCACAGCCGGGTGCCCACACTAAAGATGCCGGTGCCAGGGAGAGAAGACGGTCGGTGAAACCAGCGGTGGTGAGGACACCGCTGGACTGAGGGCAGGTAAGTGCCTGTAATTTAAAAGTCAGCAGCTACAGTTTTTGTAGCTGTTGACTGTTATTTTTTTTTTCCAGCTGGAACTGGGCTTTAATTAAGAGATATTAATTTACTAATTAACATCTCTTAAGGGACATTAAGGGACAGAGCCTATTGCTTGCAAAGTGAATGTTCGCCTAGCTTCCTGAATAAGGTGAAACTTTGTTCGCTTCAATCACAAAATTAAATTGATGAAAAAACTGTTTTTTTTACCTTGCATGTGATTTCTTACACAAAGTGAACACAGCTTCCAAATTTGTATCCCCCAAACTATCAGTCTGTCTTATTCAATTACACATTTTACATAGGGCATATTTGACCTCAATTCGAGTGACAAGAGGTCGCCCTACTAATAACCCCCAGTACCCCCACTGTTCTGCAGCCAGAAGTACCCATTTTTTCTTTATTATCGGCATGCCAAGAGATCCTGGGGTTTTGGCTTCAAGTGATACAATTTTTCAACGATCAAATGAGGCTCCCCTTTGTCCTTGAACGCTACACAATGTATTCTTTGATTATTCCTAGACCCAGATGCTGACAGCTATATGACAATATTTATGCATGAAACACTTTTTAGTGCGAGGAAGTGAATAGCACACTCAAGGATTATTATTATTATACAGTATTTATAAAGCACCAATAGTTCGCTCAGCTCTGTACATTACAAAAGGGGGACACAGAACATGTGACAGAAAAGTAACAATACAATGCAAAACATGGGGGGGATCGAGGGCCCTGCTCTTTTGAGCTTACAATCTAGCAGATAAAAGCAAACCCCCCACCCTCCTACACTCCCATACAAAAAGCTCACAGAGGGTGCCCGACCATATACAATAAAGTGTCCGATCACTGGTTGGAGGTTGATCACATGCATATTACAGTTACTAGGACAGGGGCATCAATAAGTTCTAAAGACTACCAGACCCTTCAGAGTCATACTAGCCTGTATGTAATGATACTCCCTTCCCTGTCTGAAGTATATGTAAGGAGCCATTTTATATAACATAGCTTCTTTTTGACCACGAGACTACTGCCACTTAGGCCCAGGTTTCTTGTTTCACTCAGACTATTGTGATATGTTTATTGCATATGTATGGACTGGCACCAATTGTACTCTTGTGTTTGTAAGATCTGAGAATGCCTTAAAGAGTACTTACTTGTTATTTGGTGTTTCGCTATACAGATGTACACTATCTTGGTTCGCTGTTTTTTTTTTTTTTTACTGGAAACCTCTGTATGCATACCTTTATTTCAATAAATACCGTGTTGTTTAAAAAAAAAAAAAAAAAAAAAAAAAAAAGTGAACACAGCTTCACCGTATTTACATAGCTAAGAGAACAGTCTCTTTAAAAAGCAAATATACACTTTCAAAAGTGAACATTTACTTTGCTAAGTGAACAGTTTCTGTTATTTTAGTAACACATAATGAAGTGTACAATCCAAACGCACAAGTTCCTGCGTTAAAAATGGCTGTGTGTATAAGTGGGTGCTGCAGCGACCGTCGGCAGGAACTGAACAGAACAAGCAAGGGAGAATGTCACCAGCACACCGAGGATCACCAATATGGGTCCAAAAGGTTTAACGAACGATCACATAGTTACAGCAAGGCAACATTTCAGTCTTGCAGGACCCCTTCATCAGGTCACATGCCTGATGAAGGGGTCCTGCAAGACTCCGAAACATTGCTTTGCTGTAACTATGTGATCGTTCATTAAAACGTTTGGACCCATATTGGTGATCCTCGGTGTGCTGGTGACATAATGAAAAGTGGCGCTTTCCCTTTATTTCCTATACAACTCATTACATTATATTACATTATACAGAGTAATGAAAATAGGGAATGCAAATCCTGCAGGATGAAAATATCTCAAGCTACAATATCTTGCTACTAACACTCCTGTGGCATTTAGACAGACTCAAAAGATGTTTTCTGTACAGAACAGAATTGTGTTCACTCTACAAAGAATTTTAATGTAACCTAGTGTTTGTCCCATCCACCTACTATGTGCCCTCCATTTACACTTAACCAAGACATAAGTCCAGAGGGGCTCTTAGGCTTATCTGCTTGACCTGAGATGTACACTGCCACTTACAATATCAAATGTGGGTGGACATTTGGATCAATGCCAGCTACATCTACTCTTGAGATGAAATACCTGTAAAGGTCCGCCTCTGGCTGGTGACATTCTATGACTGCGATTAAGGAGTCCAGGTTTGTAACAGATTGTAATACTGCTGTTTCCGGAACGGCATAGTGTGTCTGAAAAGAGATTTAAAAAACATTAATGGGAAAAACATCTGTACTTCTGTGTTTTTAAAGCAGGGAAGTGTCAGAGAACATCATGACACTCAAAAGCTGCTCAGAATCTATAAACCCCAGCTAAGCCTTTACGGTTGCTGGCAGGGTGCTAGGACTAGAAAACCTTGTGATGACAGAAATTGGTAGCATGCAAGGGTTAAATACTTGTTAAGTCCAGGGGTACAGGAAAAGGCTACATTACCTACTTGACTCCCTACTCCAGGCCAGATAAAGCATTGTCCTCTTCTGCCCAAAGCTCTGGTCTGTGGGCAGTACCTCTGCCTTCACATAGAAGGCAGGACCATCAACCCTGAAATGTACATGGTAACAGAGAATGGACAACCTCGGCCTAGAGAAGCGGAAAGAGGAGGCTGTGAGAGACTGGTTGCACCGCTGGGGGGAACCTGCTGCAGTGAGGGGGGGGGGGGGGGGAAGTAAGTAATGCAGCCTCTACTGCAATCTCCTGGACTTGGCATTTACCCTTGCATTGTGATGAGGGTCAACTGCAAGGGGATTTTTTGTGTTGTTCCCAGAGTTGGGCTATAACAGCAAAACCATATCACAAAGCATTCAATTGGGGATGCACTCAAATTTTCGGTGGCCAAAACGTATTGGCCAAAAATAGCCCTATTGACATTTTGCCGATATGAAAAAAGGAACTGATATAGGTGCCAATAATAGCTTATCTGTTGCAGCCCACAGGCATTCAGTCACTATCAACTATCCATTGGCTGGTGCATGAAGGAAGAAGGTGCGGCTGTGACATCTTGGTTCCAACTCTGTTCCGCTCTCGTGTAGGTCACACTGTTCCCTTCTCCTTCAGGGGGAAAGCGCGGCTGCAAAATGAGGATGCCTTGGCTTCGCTGTTGCGCATGCCCAGTGGTGGTTGCCGCGCCACAGGGTGAAGTTCCACAGCAAATTTAAGGGGCTAGCTATCTGGGAGAGTGGGCTTCGTCTCTCCTCGATGGGACCTACAATATATGCTATAGGTGAGAAAGAGATCATCTTTCCAACTGCATTATGTTGCATACCTTTGGGAAGTTTAGAGTTGACAAGTGACAACCAAAGAATAAAGTACAGTATGTCACAGAAGTTGTAGAGCAACAATTCTTTTTTTCAGATCATCAGAGTTCTTTGCCATGAGGTGCCATGTTGAACTTCCTTTGACCAGTATGAGAGATTGAGAGAGATAACACCAAATTTAACACACCTGCTCCCCATTCACACCTGAGACCTTGTAACACTAACGAGTCACATGACATAGGGGAGGGAAAATGGCAAATTGAGCCCAATGTTGACATTTTCCCTTAGGGGTGTACTCACTTTTGTTGCCAGTGGTTTAGACATTAATGGCTGTGTGTTGAGTGGTTTTGAGGGGACAGCAAATTTACACTGTTATACAAGCTGTACACTCACTACTGTACATTGTAGAAAAGTGTAATTTGTTGTCACATGAAAAGATAGAATAAAATATTTAAAAAATGTGATGGGTGAACTCACTTCTGTGAAATACTGTACATACACTGGGTGATTATGCATGGTATTTAGAAAGAGAGCATTGTTATTTACTGACCACAGGGTAGTGCATTTTTTTCTAATTTAGCCACCTGACCTCCAGAAGATTAACCCCCTTCATGACCAGGGCATATTTTTGCTATACGGTGCTGTGTTACTTTAACTGACAGCTAAGCAATCATGCAACACTACACAAATAAAATTTATGTCATTTGTTTCCCATAAATAGAGCTCTCTTTGGTAGTATGTGATCACTACTGGGGTTTTTTTTTTTTTTAATTTCTTGCACTATGAATTTTCATTTCGGTGCACCACTACATTCTATAATACAAAAGATACACACACCAATATATGCTCCACTCAAGGCAAATTTCATTATTATGTAGACATTTTCTTCTGGCGTGTTAACAAAAGCAATTATACATTTATATTAAGAAACTCTAACGAAAATATTTTGGTGAAAAAAAAAAAAAAAGGCTGACCTGGTATTTTTGGTTGCATACTTCTGTGTGTTAATGCACACAATAGCTGGATACAGAAACAGCCAATATGCATAATAGCAACAATTTATATGCCTCAAGCCATGTAATCAAACCCCCTCCATCACAACTTTTAGTATAAGAAATGCAGAGTACACACTAAGGAAGGTATTCTTAAGGTAAATTAGGGAGACCTATGCTGTACAGAAAAGGAAAGACAGACGTGATCTGGACCTTAAAATTCTCTACTCTCAGTGTAAGATTAGTCAAAATCTGCACCACACAGAATGGCCCTAATAGCAGAAATGTGGAGGCTGACATGATCTGTATTTCTCCTTGGTGTCACCTAAAACACACAATCCTTTTTTTTTTTTATGAAATATACCACCAATTATTCAGATTCATTAATTACTAAAGGCTACTACCTTTCATATTCTATGACTGAATCCAAATCTCAATATTGTCTAAACAAATAATCCATATAAAAAAATGTCAAAAATAATCTCCAATTACAAAAAAACACCTATTTTGGCATTCTGTACCCATGCATTTATTGTTTAGCCAAGATTGGCAAAGGAGCCCTTTGAATGCATGCATCCCCGCAGAGAATGTCATCCCTCTTCCTGTTATTCCCTCCTCTGTCCAGCAATTTAGCGGAAGGATTGTCAGGTCTAGACACAAGTTGCTGCTTCACCTGTCTGAATAATAGTCTGTTGATAGGACAGTACCAAACTGTAAGAAATCTAATTGCTTTTATATTTTAAATAAAAGTGGTAATGCCACTTAACAGTGCTGTGCCATTCATTCAAACTAACACAACCAGATGAACCTGTGCTGAAGCACAAAACAAATACCATGCGTTGCTGTGTGTGGCATACAGTAACACACCTCAGGGCCTTCGTCATTTACCATGTCATGTACATATGTTCTGACCTTGCAAGGATAAGCAAGATTGCCATCTGTGGTGATTAATTAGTACATTTTTTTGTGAAGATCCATCAACTTATATATGTGGACAGTAGACCATGTATGAGCAACATAAGCATGCTGCCTCTTTAGCTGCAGACAAGGTATGCTGGGACTCGAGCTCACAAGCAGCAGGTTGTCTATGTTGCATTTCTAGGTAAGACACTGATGCAGTAGGGGATGCCAATTACATACTTTGAGATTTGTCTCTCCATCCAGACTTGCAGTCGTCACATGGCACGAACCATTTGCTCGGTCTGAAGATAGCAACACCAGATCTGCAGGAAAGGTCTCATCTTTGGCTACTCTAACAATGTCACCTACCTAAAAGAAAAACAAAACATTAAAACAAGCTTCATAAAAGATCAAACCTCTACCCTTGTTCTACCTAACACCATTAATAAAAGAGATATACTTATACCCTGATGTTTTTTGATCTAGTCTTAACAAGGCCTCCACTACGAACGACATAAACTGGGGCTCCATTGACTTCATTGTCTGCTTTGTGTCGCAGCCAGTCTTCATAGCCCTGAAAATGCAACAGAAGAATTCATGTGAGGGTTTTGTCAAAACAAGCTACTATGCATTTCACACCGAGCTCTCTTGTGGTTAATACAAGTAACACAGGACGTCAAGAACATGACAAGATAAATCCTTATGTAAGAAGATGCCATGAATTATCTTTTTTCAGAAAATGCAGCAGTTTTAGGTTTCCTACTTTGTAGGATTTATTGAATCCTTCCTTGAACTTCTCAATAATTAAAAGAGAATTCTGCTTATATCTGCACTGCAGCTTTAGAAACTGTTTGAAACTTCAATAGCTTTACCACCACTGTCCTGTTACAGCAGTTGTGCTTGGGGTCTTAATCTGACTATACAGTCCAATAGGCTTCAGAGGTACACCCGCAGCATTTAGTAAAGTTGGCCAAACACTTCGTTTTATTTATTTTTTTTTTATTCAGCCACACAAATGGGGTGGGTGGATGAATGACCCCCACCCTCCCAAGCCCCAGGACATTTTATTCAGACAGTGTACCTAGCTGCCAAACTGGGGTAAATTGTCCTGCATGTCCCTTTGACAGAAATTGATCAAACAATTGACTTATGTCAAGCAGGCAAAGCCACACTCTGATCCAAATTCAGATGGTTCCTGCAGAACCAGCCATTATGTGATCAGTGTATGGACAGATTAACAGTCCTAGTCAGACACTCCCTTTTTAGTCTCTGTAATACAAGACTGAGTGGGGTCACTTGTGAGGGATGTGTGTGGCTATTGCTCAGCAATGCCAACACAAAGCACTCGAGTGGGAGGGTAGGAATTAACATTTTTACTGAGAGAAAAAAGGTGCATTGAGGCACAAGCAAAAATCTTCACAAATCAGAACATTCATGGGTACAAGACTTTAAAAATCAAAATAAAAAGGTATGCGGTATCAATTGTGATTTAAAGCATACTCCACCATTTGTAAAAATAAATAAATAAATAATAGCACGTGCATTCAACATTGACCCTGCAAAGCATTGAAACCACAATCAATGTATCATGGGGGCAATGTACAGGCAGCTGCAGACTATTTTATCAGTCCCAGGTCCATACAGAGGTACAAAGCATCAGTTATGGAGCTGAAAAAAAAGTAATCATCGAACTGCTTGTGCTCCACTGATATCTGAGTTTCTCTGCCACAGTGTCAGAGGGGACTTTTAGCCTTCCATTCACAGATCCATGGTTCTATAAAGTACAGGAAGCTGCAGGGAGAACAACCCCCAAATTCAGTTAAAGGACGGGGAGGCTGCTGAACATGACCATGTTTCAGGCTACACCCTAACTATGGGTGTAACATGGAATATGGCCAGTAAAGTGAAATCAGCCTTGATATTTCCAGCATGCGAATGAGCAAGCAACTCCAGCACGGAACATTGTGTCTAGGGATGCATCGAAAAGCATCAGCCAAAAACAGGGTTATCGGCATTTATGAAAAATGGTACCGATAATGGCCACTGAAAACACACGTTTTTACAGCAATTTGACCACGTTTAGGGTGCTTTTTTCATAGGTCAGATGACTCAAAAAAAGGCATTAAAATTCAACACATGCGTATTTTGATGGGTTTTCAATGCTTTTCAGGCCTGGTTCACGCCAATACAGCTTGCGTTTTGTCAGTTTTGCAGTGCATTTTTGCAAGCATGTTTTTCATGCACATTTTTGACGCGTTTTGTGCTTTATTGAAATTTTTTTTTTTTTTTTGCCAACTTGTTGCTGGGCAGAATAAAAACACAAAACATGTTTTCAAAGCGGAAGTACATTTTTTGTTTTTTAACTCGCTAAATATGCCTCAAAACTGCAGCAAGCAGGATATTTAACACTGCAAGGGAAGCGCAACGAACCAGTGTGAAGACAAACCTTGAATTTAAAGGGATGCATTTTTCTTGAGGTTTTCTTGCCTTTTTTTTTTTTTTTTTTTTTTTTTTTTTTTTTTTAAACGTAAAAGTGCTGCAAAAACTGCTCATTGTGAAAGTAGCATATTGGCCAAAAGGTGCTGAAAATAAATTCATATTCATTTCAATTCATAATATTAATTAAAAAGTTAAATAGAATTATACATTTTTTTTTTTAAACTGCATTTCGGCCAAATGCATTTTGGTTGGTTTCGGTCCAAGAATTTTAATTTCGGTGCACCACTAATTGTGTCTGATCCATTTTCAAGAGTAAATCAGGAGAAAACCTTTGAATTATTATGCTAGCTCTAACTGAGCAGCAACAGCTGTCCTAGCTTTGTGTCTCACTAATACAGGATAGTACAGAATAAGTACAGTAGTGACATTTATCTACATAGTCCCCTCTAATGACCACAACCTTTTTCTTCCTCCAGTAAAACTGTAAAATGTGGTAAACCATAGACACAATCATTTCATTCACTACAAAAGAAAACAGATGTACAGGGTAATGAATAAACCTGTTCTTTTTTAAGGTTACTTCTGCAATACCTGTTTAATGGCGGTCACTGTAATTACAAAAAATAATGGAAGTCCGCTTGTTACTGGACTTGTTGGAGTATCAATCATAAGCTGCAAGGGAAAAAAAGGAAAGTTAATGATACATATATTGATATTATTCTCAAATGAATCATTTCGAATGAAAACACTATCAAGGTCTTTTAGATGTTGTTAGGAAGACACACCAAGCTAGTTGCATCTGTACTTCCAACTGCCTCTACAAGAAGAATCATTCATACTTTATAAGGACCTGAAGAGACAACTGATACTGATGAGCCATACTTGCCCTGCAAAATCACTTATCTATACATTTCCACACACTTGCACAAATACAATTTTCTAAACTGGTTGTTCCTACTAACAAGAATGACAAGAGTGATGACCTCACAACAGTACATACCTTCTAACAAATAAAGCATAACATGTACATATTCAGAAATGCATACAGATGTTCCACATGTGAAGTAAAACATACACAGTGCAAACCAGATTTCAAATTCCTAAAATCTGGATGCTTGAAATACCCGTATAAACTATTCTGCTTTCTTTCTTTTTATAATTTGTACCAAAAAAACAAGAGAACTTCACTGGCTGTTACGGGCTATGAAGGGGTTCCTTTTTTTTTTGTTTCTCTATAAGAGGTCCATTATATTGACCTATATGGCACTGTAACATTAAAGTGGCTGTAAGGGTAGAAGGCTTTTTACCTTAATGCATTCTCTGCATTAAGGTAAAAAACTTTGTGTGCAGCTCCCCTTTATACTTACCTAAGGCTGTTCTCAAACAAGCGATGTGCATGACAGCAGCGGCTCTCGTATCCACTCGCTGGCCATGGAGGCAGCAGCTCTAGCACAACACTGGTTATTGCTGCTGTCAATCACAGCCTGTGAGGAGAGAGTGGGGGGCAGGGCAGAGCCATGGGCAAACGGCTTGCTATGGGGGCAAAGGACAGGGGGAGCAGCCAAGAGCACAGGAGGGGGGGGGGGAAAATCACAGAAGGGAAGAATTGGGGCAGCCATGTGCAAAACACCAGAGCAGTATAAACACACACACACACACTTTAACTGCTTTGAAGGTATAGTGAACCAACACTGTCCACAACCATATACTCAAAAGAGACACAGCACAAATAATACTAAATAATAAAATAATTTGAAAAATTATATTAAAGTCCAACAAGCAAAAGTCTCAAATTAAAGTCCAATGTGCCAAAAATTTGTGACGAAAAATATATAGAACTCTAACACAAACTTAATACATTTTCCAGCGTGCTCACATCCTCAGTGAAAGAAACATTTGTTCCACACTCACCAAATACTGTGAATTCTCAAGCTAATATCGCTTTACAAGACAAAAAGACAAGCCTGCAGGTGGAGTGTGGTATCCTCAGATTTTGTAATACTCCTAGATTGTAAGCTCCAAGGAGCAGGGCCCTCGAACCCCTCGTGTATTGTATTGTATTGTTACTGTACTGTCTCGTATACGGTCTCCCATTATAATGCACAGCGCTGAGCAAACTGTTGGCGCTATATAACTGTAATAATAATAATAATAATAATACTCTTAAACGATTTCTCACTGACTCTCCTTCCCAGGTATTTCCACATAGGGCAATATAAAAGAAAAAAATGCCAATAGTATAATACTGTATGATGATCAAAATGAAAATTTCAAGAAAAAAACCTTCCTTACACTCACATAAGGTGGCTTAAACACCAATTTCCATGAATTCATATGCCTCCCAAAACACCGATGATTTTTATACATATGGTATATGTATATTATGGTTTTTATACAGTATTACACTATTTTGGTATCCTTTCTTTTGCATTTTTCATCCATGAGAGTGAATTCAGGGTAAATTAAGGAGGAATCATTAGCAAGGGCTTGGAAGTTACACACTAGTCACAAATTACCCTTATCCATCCATCCGTCCATCCATGAGTGAGAGCTTGGAAGAAGTTAAGGAGGGATCACCATTGTGATTTGGGAGGCAAATGAATTCATGGAAATTGGTGTTTAAGCCACCTTATGTGAGTGTAAGGAAGGTTTTTTTCTTGAAATTTTCATTTGATCATCATACAGTATTATACTATTGGCATTTTTTCTTTTATATTGCCCTATGTGGAAATATCTGGGAAGGAGAGTCAATGAGAAATCGTTTAAGAGTATTACAACATCTGAAGATACCACACTCCACCTGCAGGCTTGTCTTTTTGTCTCTAAAAGCTATATTAGCTCGAGAATTCACAGTATTTGGTGAGTGTGGAACAAATGTTTTTTTCACTGAGGATGTGAGCACGCTGGAAAATTTATGAAGTTTGTGTTAGAGTTCTATATATTTTTCGTCACAAATTTTTGGGACGTTGGACTTTGAGACTTTTGCTTGTTGGACTTTATTATAATTTTTTCACATTTTTTATTATTTTTATTATTTGCGCTGTGTCACTTCATGAGTATATTTTGATGTTCAGTCATTTTTTAAACAGCAGCATATATTTTGATTTATTGTTTATTCCTTTGGCGCAGGTTTTTGATTTTTTTTTTTTTACTGTCCACAACCAGTTCCTAATAAAAGGTACAAAAGGCTATCGTAATTACAAACGCATATTAAAAATAACTTGCAGTTCAAAGTGTATAGCACATGTTCAGCCACAAATGTGATAAATCAATATACATATAAAATGGAAGTCCTCCACAATAGTACCAGATGTATATATAGTCCCTGGGAGGGAATAGAGAAAATGCTAAAAGTTCCGTTACTGTGACATTTGATATGTCCAAATACATCAGAGGGACAGTCTGCATACAGGAGGGTCTTTTAGATATGATATGTGAGCACAAATATAAAAAAGGACAGACAGAGAAAGAGAATGCAGCACTCTCCATGTAGCATTTATTTAAAAAAAAAGTTAAAACCATCTATACTGCACTCACATATAATAAATGGTGTAAACTGCATTGATCAGAGTGTTTCACTAGACAGCAGTCTACTCCTCTAGATAGACAGTCTCAAAAATGGAACCCTCATGAGCTTGGTGGAATCCAACCAATGGGTGGTAAGCCAGGAAGCATACCTAAACAGGAAGGCTCTGGCCTCTAGTAGGGTAACCAGACCTGAAGCTGTGGTGGACCACATGGAAGAGAGCAAACTATGGGCAGACCACCATAATGACATCACACGCATCATATAGTAGACGTGGCAATGCGCTTTGGGACAAGGAGTCCATTTATCAAACCTCCCAATGGAACTCTGATCAGTGAACTTTACAAGATTATTACATGTGAGTGTAATATGGATGATTTTATCATTTTTAACGTTTTTTAATAAATGCTACATTTAGGCTACTTTCACACTGAGGAGTTTTTAAAGAGTTTTTTTTGCGTTAACAAAAAAGCATCTGCAAAGCTCAAGAATAACACTTCCCTATGTATGAAAATGTATATCTATGTATGCTTTTATACTGAGGCGTTGTGCTTGTGGTGCGGTGTAAAAACTCCTGCTTGTGGCGTCTTTAGGGAGTTTAAAAAAAAAAAAAAAAAAAAGTCCCAAAAACACTTCTTCCCATTGAAATCAATGGAAAACACCTGAAAAGCGCCTCAAAAACACCTCTGAGAAGCGTTTTTGGTGCAGTTTTTAAGTCACGTCCTTTAAAAACGCTTATAAAGTGCGTCAAAAACGCCTATGTGTTTTTACGGTGGAACAGTGTGAAAGTAGCCTTAAGAGTGGTGCTTCCTCTCGCTCTGTCTGCCCTCCTTTATTTTTGTGCTCAGTCAGAAACACTGACTGTGTGAATACATGAAGTCTGTATTGGTTTTGGGAAAGAAGTCCGGTACAGTTAGGCCTCATTCACACTGGCATTAGGAATAGGGCACATTTTTGTTACTTCCTGAAAGCATTGTAAATGCAGCCCACAATGTAGAATGCTTCACATTAATGTGCAACAAAAACAATGCTACGTGCAGAGACTGGGACATACTGAATCCTGTCAACTCTTTGCAATAAAGTCTATGGTAACACGCCTACAGCATTTACAGCACAATTACAATGTGTGTTCAGTGTGTTTGATAAGTCTATATAAAATTTCAGTGAGGTTGGAAAAACAAACAATGTTGGAGGAATACAATATCCCAGAATGCAGGTTAATTGCCTCCTGTCTAAATTGTCCCTAGTATGTGTATATATGGATGTAAGGTAGGGACCTTAGATTGTACGCCGCTTGAGGGTTAGGGATTGATGTGAATGTACAATATATATGTAAAGCACTGCATAAATTGATGGTGCTATACAAGTACCTGTAATAAATAAATGATAGTGGAGATTATAGATTGTACAATCACTTTATTATTTATAAATATATACAGTAATACCTCAGTTTACAAACGCCTCGGTTAACGTAATTTTTGGATTACGAATGAAAATCCATTAAAAAATAATGTCGCGGTTTACAAATTTTTTACGAATTGTTTTTGGAATATGAAGTGTAGGTCAGTGCTGATTTTTAAATGCAATTGCCAGCTTTTTTTTTCTTCACTATAGCTCACTGAATTAGCTGTTACTTTCCCTGGAGTTAACGGAAACTTTGTTTCTTTTAAGAAACTAAACGGAAACATTAGTTCTCTTAACTCGGGGAAATAAACTAAAAGAAAAAAAACTCTCTCACTTTTAGCTGGGGGGAAAGTGAGAGCTGAATTTCTGAGCTGTAGTGAAGAAAAAAAAAAAAAAAGCAGTAATTACATTTAAAAACCGACACCATAATAATAATAAAAAAAAATGCCAAAAGCATAAATTAAAAAAAAAAAAAAAAAAAAAAAAAACGGCGTGGGGGTCCCCCCCAAAATCCATACACCGGACCCTTATCCGAGCAAGCAGCCAGGCAGGTCAAGAAAGGGGGGGGGCGAGCAACCCCCCCTCCTGAACCATACCAGGCCACGTGCCCTCAACATGAGGGGGTGCTTTGGGGCAGGGGGCCCCCCCCCCAAAAGTACCTTGTCCCCATGTTGATGGGGACAAGGGCCTCTTCCCCACAACCCTGGCCGGTGGTAGTGGGGGGATCTGCAGGCAGGGGCCC